GTCCATGCCTTCTTGGAACACACAGCCTCCTAAGAGATTAGGGAGTCAACAGTGGGAAGATAGTGAAGCAAATGCATAGGAAGGATATACAACAAAGGGACAGCCATCTCAGCTTAGTTGGGAGCATGGAGAAGTGGCCTTTTTGCTGGACTGTTAACTTGTAGATAGTCAGTGTTTACTCAGGGAATAGAGGACAGATCCCCTGTGTAGGCATAGTTAAGCCTTAGAGTCTACATACACGCGTGTATTCACACACATCTTTCTACCTTATGTCAAATATATCTATAGTATATGTGCATAATGTATATATGTTTGTATATATGTGTACATACTGCAAACAGTGTATTTAATATTTTTGTAATTTGGAAAACACAGAAAGCTATTTTTACTTGACTGGTAATAGTCCATATATTAGTGTAGTTTAGTTGACATTTGTGAAGACTAGACACTACATTTGCTCCGGTTTGGGAGAAGTAGCTATCTCACGATGCTTAGTGGAAGAGAAGAAAATGGTAGATCCTTTCTCTCCAGTTTCTTTTGAATCTACCTTGTGTATAGATCCTTCAGGCCTGCTAGTTATGTGGAGCTGCTGTAGACAGGAACTAGGACAATCATCTGGTAGTTTTAGGACTGAAGGAAGCCTTCGTTTCTGGGATAGCAATGCTTAGGTAAGTGTCCAGAGCTAGTGAGATCACGACCGTGATCTAGCACAGTGCTAGATGCTCTCTGAGTGCTAGACTAGCCTCTTCCAGTTTATGTCTCCAGTTCAGACTATAGTTATATTTTATTGATCATTTTTTATTGCCTAGAGAAACTGTCAAATTCTATAAATTATGGCTTCTCCATTGTCTCCTCTCAGAAATGTTTTAAACTAGCATATCCCTTCCATCAATGTAGTTCTGTAGTTTGACTTTGATGTATGGGTTGTGGTTCTCATTCTCCAATTCTGATATTTGAGTGAATTGCTCAATGTTTCAGTTTTTAAACCTCATGTTAATTATTTGAATATTTGGTACATACATGTAAATATATATTGCAAAACTCAACAATGAAGTGAGCAAGCATCTGTGAATCCTCTTTCTGATTTAGGAGGTAGAACATTTCAACTATTCTGCTTATTAACCATAGTTCTATTTTGCTTATAGATCCCCACCTCTTCCCATACCAAGAAACAACTGTTGTGAATTTGGGGTTTTTGATTTTTTCATGATATTTCAGAATATTTCACTTACATATGCAATTGTTTATAAACTGTAATTGTTTTGAAGCTAATTGACATGATAGACTTACATTTATTATTAACTTCTATTACATGATAGCTTCTATTTATCATTTAATATAACTAATAAATATGTGATATATATTTTCTCTTGTATATTATTAAACTATGAAAATATTAAAAAGCTAAATACTAGTAAGGATTTAAATAAGTAATTACTTATTCTGTGTATTAGGTTATTATTACCACTAAAATATATTTCCAGTTCCATCAGAAGACTATTAATTTTTGTAATACTGTGTTTGAATTCAGAGCCTAGCACTTGCTTGACAAGGCCTCTACCATTTTTGTTTGACTATTTTTATTGGGTTATGTTAATAATACAGAGTGAGGGATTTTATTGTTGCATTTCCAACATGATTACAATACATTCCAACCAATCACATCCCTTCTATCATGTCCTCTTCCCCATACTTAACTTTATTTATTTTGTAGATAGTCTTGAGCTTTTTCCCCTGGATCCTCCTACCTGTACTACCTCTTGAGTAATTTGGACTACAAGTATACATCTCTGCCTTGGCTGGAGTCTAACTTTTTCTGGGTTAGCCTCAACCTTTGCTTCTCCTTATGTCTCCCAAGATGCTTAGGGTTACAGGAGTGGACGACCACGCTAAAAAATAAGTAGATGGAATTATAAATGTGCATCTGTATGTCTACTTTATTTGTAAATGTTTCCTGATAACATGTGAAAGTGTTCCACAGGAATTGAATGAATATATGATAAACTTAGGCTAGTGTTCTATCTATAAGATAGTGCCAAGTTATTTTTGCAAAGCAGTTGCATCAGTTTATATTACCTTCACTAATGTATACAAAATCTATTTGAACCATGTCCTTAATGGCATTTGAAATTACCAGATATTTTTATGTTGTGGTTAGCCTGTTATTCCTCAGGCTGTTTTTACCTCCCATAGAACTTGAGAATCAAATGATAATCTCCTTAAGATTAAACTCATCTACAGATGAGTTTAAAGGAAATGACTATCTTTAGATAGTGCATTACCAGTAAAATGCTGGTAAACTGCTTATCTAAAGAGGAGAAAGAACAAAAAGAGCCTGGACTTACAGCATTTGTTGTTTTCTGTAGTGCGGCATTCCCACCAAGGGACTTGTAAATTACAAATTAAAAAGAAATGCAGGTAAATAGTTCTTAGGAATTAGTGTGAAATGGCTGGATATATCTCTTCATTGAGCCTTTCTGTAGTGTTAAAATGTATTGAAAGTAAATAGGTTGTCTCTTTTTTCTTTTTTGGTTGTGGGGCTTGTCTCTGGGTGCTGTTTCTGAGCTTTTGCGCTCAAGGCTTGTGCTCTACCACTTTGAACAACAGCTCACCTTCCAGTTTTGTGGTGGCTAATTAGAGATAAGAGTCTCATAGAATTTCTCCCCTGGGCTGTCTTTGAACTGTGATCCTCAGATCTCAGCTTCCTTGGTAGCTAGGATTATAGGCATGAGCCACAGGCTGAATTTACTTCTGGAACTTTCTATCGTTATTGTGAGAACTGTTAAAAATTACTATCATTTCTATTTGTTTCTTGTACTTAGAAATATAATAGATATTTCTGTATTGATCTTAAATATAGCCACCTTGTATATATTATTCTGAATATCTGTATAATCTTTCATATTTTCTTTAAATCTGCCTTTTCTTAGCATCTGTATCTGACTTTCTAATTGGTATAATATTTTTTACGGTAATCCATAGATTCCTATTTTGGACTTTTTTGTGGATACTTACTTTATAACTGAAAAGACTCTTTTCCCACATTAGGTGACATTTATAGGTCCCATGTGGACCTGTCTTTTGGCCCTATCTATTCAGTTTACTAAAAGGAATGTAGAGGCCAGCATTAATTAGGCAACATAATGGCTCCTTGCTAGAACATGTCAAAAGTGTGGGGCCAGCATTCTTACCTGACGCACCTCAACTTTTTGTTCTTATGGTCACACAGAAGTGTCTGAGAGCAGCAAAGTGGTCTTCACTTTCTTACTAAAAATTAAATAGAAACAAATGTTTTCCTATCATACTTAAGTGTTTTCCTCTTATGTTCTTAGCATGTACAAGTCATGTTTAAACACAAATGAATAGGACATCTCTTGATTGTCTAGTGGACATTTGTAACCATGTAAGTGGTCTGTCTGCTTTTACATATACAATACTTAATATGATTAGTGCAGTTGAACAATTTTAGTTTTGATTTAGTTTAATTTTAGTTAAATCCAAATTTAAATGGCATCCGATTGGTAGGTCGTATTAAGCAATGTAAGGAAGATATTTTTCACCTAGGTTTTAATTAACTAGGTACGAACTACTAAAAAAGGGAATGACAAACAATTATCATAATCTGCCTATAATTTAATTTGTCACATTAACAAAGCCAAAGAAAAGTTTGTTCTGAATTAGCAGCTTACTGCTACTTGTTAAGGGTTTTGAACTTTGTTGTTTGTAATTCTTTGCCATAACTGAAAATTATGGAATTTTAGGTACTTTTTTCCTTAATTATGTTTTCTAGATATAAATTTATAACCAAATTATTCTTTTGCAGGCAAAAGACTGTTGAATATGGAGTAGAAAATTTCTAATTTGGTATCATACAGCTCAAGAAACAAAGATTAATGTTTGATGACAAAATGCTTGTTAATAATTGATAACTATTCTATATTTCTTGTTTCTAAAAATATAAATTTTATATACAGCGGGGGGGGGGTAAGCGGGGAGGATTGTGTGGGGGGCGGGCGGAGGATGGGAAGGGGAAACAAAGGAGGAGGCTACAATGCTTGATAAGAAATGAACTCATTATCTTGCCCATGTAATTGTAACCCCTCTGTACAGTATTTTCACAATAAAAAAATTAAAATTAAAATTAAAAAAAGAAATATTTTACTTATTTAAAAATGCCCTTTCCCTTGACTATGGACTACTTAAAGATATGTTTTATTTTGTGGACATAATCATTTCTATTAAATTCATTTCCATTACAAGCAAGTAGATTTTACTTTCATTTTTAAAGTTCACTATAAACATTTTATTATATAAAACTTTAAATTTTATAGTTAGTACATTGGTTCATTTTTGTTCTTGGTTGAATTTTGCCAGCAAAAGTATTTTTTCTCCATATAGTAAACAAATATTATACAAAATTTTGTATAGATCTAATATCATTAACATCATTCTAAAAAGAAAATGTGGAAATAAGGTCAAGTATAATTCACACTTTTCAGATTTTATAGTTTTAACTTTGTGGTATGTGCTCTTCATTACACCACAAGAGGGAGCACTTTAAACTTGAAGTTTGAATAGCAACTTTGAACTGCTGATACAAGAGTTGATATCACTTAAAAAATCACGAAGTTCTTTATCTTCAGAATGTCCCTTAATGTATATGGTAAGTGATGCAAAAGAGACATTTAGAGCATACAAGACTAAATGCATCAAATTAATCCAATTTTATGCAGCAAAATAACTTTTCCTAGGGCTTTCTTATTACTATATAAAAATGAGCTATTTTAAAAAATTGTTCTTTAGGGAAGGTTTTTGAAATTTTATCTTTACATTCCAAAATAAAAAAAACATACACAATACAATACATATCATTTCAGATTTGATCTTAATTGAAGTTATCTTTATAAATCATAGTGCATAACCATTATGGAAAAGAGAGACTGTAAATGACAAGGAAGACATGACTAGAAAGTAATTTTTGTTCTTTTGTGTTTTGACAGCTTGAAGGTCCGTGTGTTTTACAAATCCAAAAAATACGCAATGTTGCTGCACCAAAGGATAATGAAGAATCTCAGGCTGCACCAAGGATGCTGCGTTTGCAGATGACGGATGGTCATACAAGTTGCACAGCAGTAGAATTTAGTTATATGCCAAAAATAAGGTGATGAGCACTTTTGCATTTGTTATATGTTTGAAGCTGCTATTCAAAACTGATTATGTGTTAAGAACTTTGGAAAAAAAAAGGAATGAAATCTTAAGTGCATATTACAGTTTTTCTGAAGAAATTACAGAGGTTTGTATTTCAGCTTTGTGTAGAACATAGTTAAGAATAGCATTTTATGATTAGTGTTATTATAAAAACGATATATATATATTATATATATATATATATTTTTTTTTTTGTCAGTCATTGGGCTTGAACTCTGAGCCTGGGCACTGTCCCTCAGCTCTTCAGCTAAAGGCTAGCACTCTACCACTTGAGCCGCAGCTGCACTTCGGTTTTCTGAGTGGGTTTATTGGCGATAAGAGTCTCATGGAATTTTTTGTCCGGGCTGGCTTTGGATGGTGATCCTCAGATCTCAGCCTCCTGTGTAGCTAGGATTACAGATGTGAGCTACCAGCGCCCAGCAAAATGATACTTTTTTATGAAGACTAACCATTTCATTTTTTTTCTTGAAATTTTAGGTGATTAGGTGTTTATAAACAAAAAGGACTTCTTTGAACATGTTTTGGTGCCATGCACTGGTATTTCATGTCTGTAATACTAGTTCAGGAAATGTACTCATTACCTTGCTCATGTAACTGTAAACCCTTTGTACAGTATTTTCACAATAAAATACTTAATTAAAAAATACAGGTGGACCCATTGCAACAATGAGATGTATACATAAGCCGTTATGTCGAAAAATGAATTTTACAACTTTGGTGCTGGGGGGAGGGTGGGAAGGGATGGGAAGGGGAAACAAAGGAGGAGGCTGCAATGCTTGATAAGAAATGTACTCATTATCTTGCCCATGTAATTGTAACCCCTCTGTACGGTATTTTCACAATAAAAAAAGGAAAAAAAAGAAAAAAAAAGAATTATGGTTCAAAGACAGCCCAGGAAGGAAATTCTGTGAGAATCTTATTTCCATCTAGCCACCAAAAAAAGCTGGAAGTGGAGCTGTGGCTCAAGTGGTAGAGCATTAGCCTTGAGGGAAAAAGCCAAGGGAAGTGCCCAGGCCCTGAGTTTAAGCCTGAGGACCACCACAAAAGACCTAGAAACTAAAAGAAAAACCTGTCATGATATCTTTCTGATTTCATTAGTAAATTGTGAATAATGGTGTGTTATCTATCACACTGTTCAGTTTCCTAACAAAGGTTTGTAGGATAGTGTGTTCCCTTTGGAAATGGTTAAAGGCCGGGAGCTTTGTGTGCCTCCCACTTCCTAGGACAGCAATTCCACTTCTTTTGATTCTTCCTATGAGAGGTGTTTTGGGAACTGCATTAGAATGTCTCAGACAGTAAAAAGGAAGGGAACAGGTTACCTTTATCCTCATGGCCTCTGTTAAGGCAATTCGCGCTATTGTGTGAAGTGAGAAATTTCATTGGATATTTGTAAATACTTGTCATTTATTTTCCTTTCTGAGTCATTTTATATGCTTCCATTTGCTGTTCTGATTCTTTTGAGCTTTTTCACTCAATATAAACTCATTGGTCACCTGTTAAATAGGTTTTTGTATGTAGTTAATTATCATTTGATCTTAAACTAGATTTTAACAAATATGAACATTATTTTTTAGGTATTGTGGTAGCCAATTTCTCGGGTTATTATCAGTCAGATAATCTTTTCTTCAGTAAAATTTTAATTTTAGCCAAAGCTAAATTTAATACAGTCAAAGCTCAGGCAAAATAAGCAAATGTATTTGTATAGCATGGTATAGTTGAGGAAGTGTGTTCCTATCTTTTGTTATATTTGTCTTTACATTTTTAATATTATTATTCACACACACATTTTAATAGAAACTGAAGCTCACTTCTTTGCCATTAAGGTAGAAAGTGAGACTTTTATACCTAATCTTCCTCCCTTGTGATCTACTGGTGTTCTTTAGCTAGTCTCCCAAGCAGTACTTTTGATATGAAGTACTATTTTAAAAACTTGATTAATTTTTCCCGTAAGACTGAATTCCAGTTTGGGGAGGAGCTTCCATGTGTTTTAAAATAACTTTTCTTCCTTTGCATTAGCTTGAACACACCACCTGGAACTAAAATTAAGCTCTCGGGCATTGTTGACATAAAAAATGGATTCCTGCTCTTGAATGACTCCAATACCACAGTTCTTGGTGGAGAAGTAGAACACCTTATTGACAAGTGGGAGTTACAAAGAGTAAGTATAAACTAAAAATGGTTTCTGTTTTAAAATATTACATGCTTTTTATTTCATTCCGTTATTTTAGGGAGCTGTTTATTTAGAGCTCTTTTCTTAGTGAGTCCTTTTGTAGCTAGGATTTCAAGCATGAACCATTAGTACCAAGCCAAAGTATGAATTGTTTTAAGACATTGAGAATATTTATTTTAATTGAATGAGCTTCCATTTTATAAACTGTAGCAATCTGATCTCTATAAATAACTAGAAAGAAAATCACCTTTATCAATATGATTTTTTGCTTGCAAATTTTAATTCTAAGAATTTCATTCTAAATGTAATATTTTTTCTTAGTCTTATGTACTTTTTTATGATAATGGGGTTTGAATTTTGGTGCTCTAAACTGCTTGAGCCACACTTCCAGCCTCACTTTCTGGTGGAAATTTTTGAGATAGGGTGTCCCTTTTTGGCCAGGAGTGTTGCTGGGCACATGCCTGGGCATGGGCTGCCTCTCGCAGGCTTCACAGTAGCAAAGATGACAAGTATACATCACCACATCCAGCTCCTAATAATTGAGAAGAGATTTTTCAGAGTTTCTGCCTAGGCTCACCTCAAAACTGCTGTTCTGTTTTCAGCTTCCCAAATATCTGGGATTACAAGTGTAAGCCATGGCACCTGGCCTTTTTTTTTTTTTAAGGCTATATGCTTTCAAATGAAATCCTTTTGTCTAAAGTATTATCTCTGACTTTCCTAATTGTTGAGGAGATCTGTTTTTCCACTAAGAACTGCCTGATAAAGTTTTTCTGAAAATTGTGTGTGAATGTGTGCTTTGGTCAGGAAAGATGAGGAAAGAATTCCTAAAATAATAAGATACTTTATATTCTCTAGTCTGCAACAAGTTAGAGAAGGCCCTTTCCTGTTTCTTACAATAATCTACTCAAAGCAGTAGATTCCTGATGCTTTATAAACATTGTCAGTATATTTTTATGGAAGAATGATTTTTTTTTTTCACAGAGCTTGTCAAAACACAATAGAAGTAATATTGGGACTGAAGGTGGACCACCTCCTTTTGTGCCTTTTGGACAGGTAATGACTTTCATGTTGGCAGATGAACTTAAATAGCATAAAGTATTTTTCATTGTATTTAAACTGTGATTAGTTTAGTGCTGAGCCGTTTATTTAGAAGTTATAAGGAAATACAAAGTTGAAGGAATTTAACAATTTTGTTACTTCAAAGACTGAACCAATGAACAGCCATATCTGAAGAAAAACTTCCAAGTAATTAAGATATGGTAAGGCAAAGGACTTTTTATGAGAAAATTATATTTGTATTTCCCTATGTAGTTGTACAAAAGGTTTACTATTCAGCATGTCAGTTTATAAGTCCTTTGCATCCTGACTGATGTCTCTCCCTTCATCATTCTCCCCCATCCCTCCCAACCCAACCCAACCCTTCTCTTCAGTTAGAGAAAGGGCTTTGTAATATGGAAAATCAGAAAGTAAGAAGACAAAAGTATGTTACAATTTTCCAAGATTTGAGGCTTCTGCCTTGATTCAAATACATGTCTGGCCAGAGACTTCATTTTATTTCCAGTTGGTGTTTTTCTTTTCTACCACACAAGTACCAATTCTTATCCTGTGTAAACGAAAAGTTTTCTGTCTATTTTTTAGCTCCTTTGCTGAGAAGTTCTGCTTCATAGCAGCCAATATGTGTGTCTTCTCAGTGTGCTCAGCATGCATGAAGCTGCAGTCCCAACCATCTCTTCTAGCCCATCCTTGCTTTAGCCCTGGCAAGTCCATGAGCAGCCCTGTGCCAGCTTGCTCTTTTACTCAGGGTGCCACCAAAATGTCATACTCAATCTGCTTTGTATTTGTTCTTTAATATTCTTTGAGAGATGCCTGAAAGTGAAGATGGTTTGGGGGTGTAAAGGTAGGAAAGAATGCTGTCTTTCAATAACCAAGTGTAGTTTTTATTCTAAAATAAATTTAGTATGAAAAAAAGGTATCTGGATTAAAAGATGAGGTAGAATCAGTTGATTGACATCTCTGAAAGCCCTGTGTTTAAGGTCTGCTCTGAATTAAATTGGAGTCATTCTTGTATCATGGAAATTTTGAAATTATTTTTAAAATGTATTTTTTCCTTTATTTTGGAACAAGAGACAGTTGAGAAAAAGGAGATTTGAGGTCCCATATGTGGCCTAAGATGATATTCTCTCAATAAAATTAAAAAAATGAGCCCAGTGAAACAAGGAACAAAACATTACTCTATCTGTCTGTCTCTCTCTCTATATATAAAACATATTTGAAAATAACATATTTGAAAGTAATAAGTGAGATATTTGAAAGAATTTCCCTGAAGAATTTTAATGATAGTATTTCTCTTTAATAAATTACTTCAGGCATTAAAAATGATTTGTTTTTGGAAAGACTTATGATTTATTTTCATGAACTTGGAGTATGCTGTATAGCTTTTGGGGGATTAAGAAGTTTCATTAGTATAATTTTATGACATTCTTTCTGAAACTTTCTTGTGTAGCATATTGCAATGTTCTTCATAGGTAAAGATAGATGATACTAGTTTTGTATTATTATCAATAACATGTTGCTGAAAATTTGAATTGCACAAAACTGTATGACAAGTTTAGGAAGATTTCCTTTACCTTCTTGCTATTGAAATAAGAAAAGTTTTTTTTCTTTAAAAATAGGGTTTTTACTAGTAGAACTGGAAATGAGAGCACAGTTCATAGCTGTTTTTAGGCAAGGATTTCTTAATTTATTTTATGAGACTAAAAATCAAAACTTAAAACACCAAAAAAACCAAGCAATAGTACCTACTTGGGAGGCTGAGAATGGGATGATCTCTGTTCAAGGCCACATGGGTTAAAAAAGGTTGTGAGACACCCTCCCTCGCCTCCTCCCCCCCCCCCCTTTTCAATCTATAGTTGGGGGCAGTGGCACATGCTGTCATCTCAAGCTGAGATTGGAAGTTCATGGTTCCAAGACAGCTCAGGCAGAACAGTTTGTGAGAGACTGTCCCCATGGAGGGAAGCCAGTGATACTGTGATCTCAGAAATGATGACAGTAGCTCTGTTAGGGCTCAGGCAGGTTTCTGGATGGGAGCAAGATCCTGTCGTAAAAATAACCACTGGAAAATGGGCCTGGAGGTGGTATTATGCTAGCCTAGCAAGCACAAGGTCCTGAATTCAAATTGCTGTACTGCCTAGAGAAAAAAGGAGAAACCAGCATCAACCATAAGTATTTTATTGTTATTGAGACAAGTGTTTTTAGCTTTTAGTTTGTGAATTCATAGATACTTACATGCATGTACATTAATAACAGTGTGGAAATTGAAGTCTTTTACAAAATCAGAGTTTTGTATATTAGTTTACTTATTGGAGTTGAAAGCTATTTTAGTTATTACCTTAAAATGAAACTTCCTTGTTCTGTACATGACATGAAGTCACACTCTGGTTTAGATGACCTCATCTTTGTACAGCTTTTAAATTAATTTACTGGTTACATGTATTTGATATTCATTTTTATGTTTTTGTATATCTATGGGATGGAATTTGTTTTTATGGACTCCCAGCTTTTTAAAAGAAATCATAGAGTCTAATGAAAACTTTAATGTTTTTTAGAATTACAGAATTATTTTTACTTATTTTCCAGAAGTGTATATCGCATGCCCAGGTGGATAGCAGAGAACTTGATCGAAGAAAGACTCTGCAAGTTACGATGCCTGTCAAGACTACGAACGATAATGATGAATTTGAAAAGCAAAGGACTGCTGCCATTGCTGAAGTTGCAAAGAGCAAAGAAGTGAGAAGTTAAATTGTTGTAAATATTTCTTCTTATCATCATGATCTATTTGAATTTCTTGTGGTCATTACTGTCTTCCCATATAGCCTGACTACTGCAACAAGTCCTTTAGATTTTTCTTCTTGCATATTCTTAAGGTAGAGGAAAACCTTAGTTAGGCTGGTTACCACTTTCATGATTTCCCCTGGAATAATTGTTTCTAAAGAATAAGTTCTGAGGAATGAGTGAAAATCAGAGATATATCAGTGGGTTACAATTATTTTTGTCAGTTTTCTTTGCTAGTTTTATTTATTGTAAAAATGTTTATCTTTGGATTTTATGCATATTTATCTACAAATACACTGTCTTATATACTTTCCATCTGTGCTTCATTCAAGATTCTCTTAAAGTTGTTTTGAATCTCTTGCTTACTTGTAATATTTCCTTTATTATGTTGGTTTTTAAATATTGTTAAGAATTTTAGTTTATAAGATACTTGCTTAGATGGATTTTTCCTAACCATTGAGATTGAAATGGTTTCCTTGGCTCAAAACATGTAATAAGGGGCCAGATATGGTGGTTTGGAGCTGTATTCCCAGATACTCAGGGGAAAAGCAGTTGTGAAAATGCTGTTGGCATCAAAGGAAGAGCACTTTTGGAGTGACAACATATAAATTCTGGAAATGTATTTAATTTGGAACATGTCAGGGCCAGCCTTTTCAGGTAGCTGTATTTCAGTATAATAAGGAAAATAGTAATTGCTGTCTGTAATCTTCTCCAGGTTTGTGTTTCTTCTCTTTTTTTATAAAAAAAAAATTGGTGGGTCTTGAACTCAGGGCTTGGGTACTGTCCCTGAACCTCTTCGTGCTTAAAGTTAGCACTCTAAACTTGAGCCAGTGTTACTTCCAGTTTTTGAGTGGTTAATTGAAGAGTCTCCTGGAGACTTTTCTGTCTGGTCTGGCTTTGAACTGCTGTCCTCAAATGTTAGCCTCCTAAGTAGCTAGGATTACAGGCATGACCTACTGGCTCCCAGCTTCGCCTCTTTTTTTGATGAAAAATCTGAAGCTAAATGACAGGTAAAAATTAAATGATTTTCCTGAGAACAAGAGGTAGTAACAGGCTGAGAAGGTATTGGGACAGCCAGCTTTGTCTAGCTAGTCCAGAGCCTAATTGTGTAACTGTGTTGCCTCCCATCCAATAAACTTTGCATCACATATGACCACCTTTTCAAATACATTTTTGCTGAAGTTCCACAAATCAAAATTTGTATATACAGAGACTTAGGTCTGTGTAGATCAGGTTTTAACTTGGATATGGCTTAACTTTGATAAGAATTGAATTTAAATAATGTAGTATATCAGTTTCTTATTAGAGATATTTAATATGTTGTCCATTAGTGGTCATCTAACATGATTTTTCAGATACTTTTAATATAATATGATCCTTAATTATGTAGATTCTGCTTTATAACTTTAGTTTGAAATAATTTTCCTGTTACATAAATTTATATCCAAGATATTTTCCTATTATAGCCTTTTTAAAACATAAATAATGTTATCTCCAATTAAAATCAAGTTTTAACTTCTTCCATCTCTTTTAATGCTTTCTGAACTGTATAAAATACCGTATGGCCAAAAAATTTGATAATGTAAAAATAACTATACCTTTCCCAACTGGTATTCTCTATAGTGTAATGGTTTTCAGAAAACAAAAATGAAATTAAATCAAATCTTCAAATGTATTGATGTACATAGTTATTTATGGAAGTCAGACAAAACTAGAAAAAAGACATAAGCTTTTCTATGTGGTTGATAAGGAATGATATATTATGTAATTAATATGAATAGTAAGTTAGTAAAGAACGTTTTAATTCAGTTTTTCAAATTATATTGTCAGCTTTTTGTTTGTTTGTTTTGTTTTGTTTTCCTCGCTTATGGGGTTTTAAACTCTGAGTTCTTCAGCTCAAGGTGAGCGCTGTACCACTTGAGCCACAGCAGCACTTCTGGTTTTTCTGGTATCAGCTTATTTTCTAAAGCTGTGGAACCATATTTCTAGACCATGGGCTAACTTAACTGATTGGAATCAGGTTTGGTGCCTTTTGGGATAAGCATGCCTTTTAACTGGATTTAGAATGCAGGTCTTGAGGCATCACTCAAACATCTTATCAAAAAATAATTTAACATCTAACATTATAATACATATCACTGTGCATTTGAGTGACCAGCATTCGAGTGACTTAGAGATTATAATCATGTGAAATATTTTTTTTTTAATTTTATTTTATTTTATTTGAGAACATACTGTACAGAGGGGTTACAATTCATGTGAAATATTTTTATAATCCTTTCCTTTACATGTGAAAAGAAGATATGGCTAATAAATATCTGTGACCTTTTCTTTAATGACATTGTTATTTCATTTTTTTCATGTCAAACACACTTAAGAGGTGTAATTAAATGCTAATTTTTAATAATATTCCAGCTCTTGAGCTATTTTAATATGCTGTTTACTTACACCCTTTTTATTTTCTCTTATCTAAAGACCAAGACATTTGGAGGAGGTGGAGGTGGTGTTCGAGGTAACCTCAATATGGGTTCTGTTGGGAACCGAAATAGGGAAGTTTTACAGAAAGAAAAGTCATCCAAAGCAGAGGGGAAACATGAAGGTGTCTATAGAGAACTGGTAAGATATAAAACCAGCTACAAACTGGCTTGTTTTTTTTTTTATTGTGAAAATACCGTACAGAGGGGTTACAATTACATGGGCAAGGTAATGAGTACATTTCTTATCAAGCATTGTTGCCTCCTCCCTTTGTTTCCCCTTCCCATCCCTTCCCATCTCCCCCCCCCCCCCCCCCCAAGTTGTAAAGTTCGTTTTTTGGCATAACGTCTTGTACATCTCATTGTTGCAATGGGACCACCTGTAATAGCTTTAGTCTTTGCCTATTTTCCTTTGCAATTTTAGGGAAGTGCTATGTAAATTACATTCCCTTCCTTAATTGGAGAAAGCTCACAATTTTCCTTTTTTTGTTTTTAATCATGACAATTTTTCTTTGGGTACCTTTTCAGCCTTGTTTTCAACAAGCTTATTCTAATATATCTTTTAAAAAGTTCTCTTTTTGGTTAACACATGTTGTAGAACTTGCTCAGTGAGTCCTGAGTTCACAGTCCTCATGTAGAACATATTAGAGTATTAGTATTAAAAAACAGCAAGTGAATGCTGTATCAGTATGGCATTGATTTGAGATAAAATTTTGAGTTAAGGGCTGGGAGGGTGGCTCAGTGGTAGAGTGCTTGCCTTGCAAGCATGAGGCCCTGGGTTCGATTCCTCAGCACCACATAAGCAGAAAAAGCTGGAAGTGGCACTGTGGTTCAAGTGGTAGAGCGCTAGCCTTGAGCTGAAGAGCTGAGGGACAGCACCCAGGCCCAGAGTTCAGGCCCCGGGACCAGCAGAAAAAAAAAAAAAATTTGAGTTAAAAGTCAGTAAACAGTTAAACTTACCCTTTATTTATGGACTGTCAGCATAGCTTCCTCTTCATTCCTTGCAGGTTGATGAGAAGGCACTGAAGCACATAACAGAAATGGGCTTCAGTAAGGAAGCATCCAGGCAAGCCCTCATGGATAATGGCAACAACTTAGAAGCAGCACTGAATGTACTTCTTAACAGCAATAAACAGAAGCCTGTTGTGGGTCCTCCTCCAAGAGGTATCACTTATTAAAGTAATGTGCCAGAGAGCATTGCTTGCTTTTCAGAGTATTGTTTGTTATCAGCAAAGGCTGAGTGTTACTGCTGTTAGGGATAACTTCATGTAATATTGTAGTGAGTAGAAGTATGAATTTTGAGACCTTAATGCATTCAAGGGTACTTACTGGGGTCTTTATAAAAACTACATTTAACACTGACTTCCTTACCGGTTATTATGAGTAATAGAGAACTGATTCTATTATTTCTAGCACTGCGCCACTTTTATGAAGGGTTGTATATACATAACCTTATTTTAAATTAACATCAAAGAACTTTTACTTTGTGTTATTCTTTAGTCATTGCATAGATAAAGCTGTATGCTTTTTTTGAAGGTTGGATTCTGTATTCATTAAAAATATCTGGTTAAAAGAAAAAAATTTTCAGATAATATTTTATTAATTAGTGGTTTATGTGAACCAATTCAAACTTCTGGATAGACCACATTAGAAGAGTAACGATATTTTACTCACTAGTAATTTAAAAAGTATCGTAAATACTTTTAAAATACTTTTTAAATTATAGAAATAGTAGAATACATAGTTAAAAAAAAAAGGAAAAATACACTCAGAGACCTACTAAAAGATTTCTATTTTATGGATATCCCTATAAACTTTTTAAAGAGATGAGTGATTTGTACCATTCCTTCAAATAAAGAAATTTGGTACCTAAAAAAAAAAAAAAGATGAGTGATAGAGCTAACCCTTATCTGTAAGTTTTGAATTTATATTGTTTCATCCAGTGGACAAAACCATTTTTTTTCCTAAAAATAGTTTTTTGTTGTGTTGGGGTGGTAAAAGAAAGAATGTTTTATAGTGGTTTTTTTTTTCCTTCAGTGACTTTTGGACAAATTAAAAGTCCTAAACTCTGAAAAAATTTTGCTGATTTAGTGTTCTTTTGTATGTTTCTTCTTTTGTATTTGCTTTTCAATATGCGAATGTATGTTTACGCTTATACATTTTAAGGCAGAGGAAAAGGCAGGGGTCGAGGAAGATCTGAAGATGAAGATGACCTGGGGAATGCAAGACCTTCAGCACCAAGCACGTTATTTGACTTTTTAGAATCTAAAATGGGAACTTTGAATGTGGAAGGTAAGATAATTTAAAAAATAGATTTTGTTTGAAAAGACTCTCATTTGATATTATACAAAATGACTTACTAAAAACAACCATCACATATATGATCATGCCTGTGTTCTGAGAACTCGTTTAGAAGTTTATTTAGAGGGCTGGGAAGGTGGCTCAGTGGTAAAGCGCTTGCCTTGCATGCTTGAGGCCCTGGGTTCAATTCCTCAGCACCTATAAGCAAAAAAAAAGCTGGAAGTGGTGCTGTGGTTCAAGTGGTAGAGCGCTAGCCTTGAGCTGAAGAGCTGAGGGGCAGCGCCCAGGCTCAGAGTTCAGGCCCATGACTGGACCCAAAATTAAAAAACAAACAAACAAACAAACAAAGAAGTTTATTTAGAGAATTTCCTGGTTGACAAAAGCACAGAAGAAAATTTTAGATACTACATTCTGGAAACATAAAAGTCAGCTTCTTTTACTCTCTAAATATATGATGAATTATATCACCAAACTACTTTTAATAGGTTTACCAATATGAACAGATTGGGTTTCTGGAAAACTTAGTATTCTATGATCTCTGTTGATTATAAAATTGATCTTTCTCTTTTTGTCCACATATATATTGCATGTAAATGTTCAATAAGTGAATATGCTTTCACAGTGGAATGTAGTTTTGATAGGATATCCTTTATTTAACATAAAGACTGAAAAGCGAAGTAACTATGTTATGTATGCATCACTTTCATAAACACGGAATATGGTAAATATTTTCTTTAAAAGAAATGTACTCATTATCTTGCCCATGTAATTGTAACCCCTCTGTACAGTATTTTCACAATAAATAAAAATTTAAAAAAAAACTTCTTTTATTGTAAATGTGATGTGCAGAAGGGTTACATAAGTCAGGATTGAATTTTTTTTTTTTTGAATAATGTCACCCCCGCCCTCATTTTTTCCCAGTTTTTTTTCCTTCTAACCTCTCTCTTTGAAATACACTTTTAATTCAGGTTTTCCAGCTTTCTTTTTGAATCCAATCAAATAAGCTTGGAAGGGAAATGCTTCTATTACAAATGTTAAACGTCAGAGATCATGAAAATTGCTAGATTGTGTAGAAAGGCATTGCATTATTTGAAAAAAACACATTTGATATAAATGAAATTTATCATCAGTAACATACAATAGCTTATTTTTTTGGTTATGAAGCATGATAAATTAATTTTCTTTTGTTGGAAAATGAATTACCACAAAGTATATAAATGTAGCTTTATCATCTCATGAATTTTATTAGAATTTCAGTGGAAATTGTGATCTACCCTCTGAGGCTTAAGGTCCTCTGACATTCTCACTAGTTTAAAGCAGAATTCAGTTTCTTACAGATATAGGATTGAAGTTTTTTCTTTCCTGCTTGATTCTGGCTGGAGATTGCTTTCAACTCCTAAGGGCGATCCCAGGTATTTGCCTCATGGACAGTATTTATGGAGTATTTTCTTCTAGAAGGCCAGCAGGAGAATCTCTGCTGCAACCCCATAGCCATTCTACTCCTTTCTGACTATGACTTCTTGATTTTTTTGCTCTAACCTCCTTTTATGGCATCCCATTCAGATCTCCCTTGATTCCATTCATCCTCATCCTCCCACAATTCTACTTGATTCTGAATGTTTTAATTGAACTGATTAATAGTATTTGATATTAGTAACTCATGTATGACTTTCCATTGGGAAACCAAATGTTATTATATTTTATAAGTATGCCAGAGCATATTTGATTTTATAGTCAAATAACTTCTGCTAAGCCATTATTTTGTTTAGCATACTTTTTTGTTTACACTAAGTAAATGATAAAATACAGTAAATGACAAAGTTCTTTTTAATGAACATTCATGTATGTCTTTATTTGTGGATTATTTTGTCTCACAAACTGGACAATAAGCTTTTTAGTATATTTGTAACCTGTAATAATGTTTAGTCCTTTAATGTTTTAATGTCAAAATAGGACATTAAGAAATGTTTTAATCAGATTCTGAATTGGATTACAAACTATAAGATGAAGGTCTATTATTTCTAGCAGGTATACATAAGTGATTATTAAATGATCTCCATATATTGTAAAAAAATGACAGAATATTTTATGGTAGACAAAAATGCTAAAAAGTTGAAAATGATCCAATTAGAGAAGAGTTTCATAAGAAACAGAAATATGACTCGACATGCTTACTTATATAATATTGGAGGGAAAGAAATAATAAACAAGGAAGTGTGCTTTCATATTTAAGGATTAAAGAGCAGTAAGGAATACAGTGAGCTCCACAAAGCCATGTCTTCATCTTCTGTTGTTCCGTATGGGGAAAATAAGTTATGAGAATATAAAAAAAAGATTATTAATGATTTTTAATACCATAGTTGTATGAATTCTAGTGGTTACAAATAAGCTTTAATTTTAAAAATTGTTTTTATAGCAGCAATGTTAATTCACTGTAGAAAGTGCTAGAAAGTGGTTGTGTTAATATTAATATTATAGCCTAGGGTTTATTCTTCACCAATCACTCTGTGAGGAGAAATATAGTAGCAAACAATACAGTTCAGAAATCTTACTGTAGCAGGGCAGAGATTGGAGCAGTTCTGCTGTGCCAATGATTTGCCAGTCATCAAGGTACATCAGGTGTCTGAGTCATTCTCAGTAGGGTTTGGGGGAGATAGATGGTCCTCCCAGAAGTGAAATCTGAGTGGAGACCTGAGGAGAAGCCAGAGGAAAGATGAGACATGTTCAGGCACTGCAGACATGGATGTGTTTGACAGCATGACAAATTGAAAATGCTCAGAACCAGTCTTAGCACTTTTACTAGAAAACAAAGCTCTGTGTAGGGCGACTGTTAGTAACTGATTGGAAAAAAAAAAGGTAAGCCTTCAGATAAGGACATTACAGAATATTTATAAAGGAAAAAGAAATTAAAATCTTATTATTTAGATTATAGGTGTGAATTTATGATATATCCACATTCTTCCAATATGTTCACAAGAAATAGAAAGGAGAAGATTGAACCAAGTTACCCAAACAGATACATTAATATTTAATGGAGATTTCTCCAATTATTGTTTTCATTTAAAAAAAAAGATTTTTGTGGTAAACCTAAGCTGAATTCATGAGAAAAATACTGAAAACCACTCATGGTGATAAGTCCATATGTTTATTAGTATATAAGTGTAGTTTTGTTTGAGGAGATGTATAGAGGGAAGTTAATAGTGGAATTTGGAAACTCTTTGTTGGTTAATCCTAGCTGTAGCCCATGCTAGTTTTGTGCCTTGCTCAAGCCCCTTCAACTTCCTCACTTGGAAAATGCGGATGTTATTATAATTGCATCCTGAAGTAATAAGCTCATTTGACTTTTTAACATATGAAGGATTTTCCTGGACTAGATTTTTTTTTTCTTGAAGAACTAAAATCCTCTATACATACAAAGCCAAGTTGGGTCTTCTTTCTGTATTTGTGATTTTTTTTTTTCCCCCATCTGCTTTAGACCAGTATACATATTCTCATGAAAAACTTTTTATTTTTGCCTTCTGACTATCATAGATATCAATACCCTACCTGGAATAGTTTAAGCAAAGTTGTAGGTATGAAAAGTATACTCCAAATATCTATTCAGATCTCATTGATGATTAGTTAAAGCATTTTCATATTTGATTTATTTTGAAAACTGAATAATACCTTATTCTTCTCTGTTAAAGAATCATCAAGACTTCTATGTCTTAAAACTCCTGTGGGTGCTATGGGTCATATGCATTAAGTGTCCATATGGCGTACCCACAAGAAATCATCAACCTACTCTTTACATTCTCTAGTATGTGTCAGTGAAAATGTTAGTTTTAAATACATGCTTTTTGTTAAAAGCACTCATGGTCACCAAACTGAGTATGGTCACTAGTTTTCTCATTTCTCTGAATTACTGGACATAATAAATTATGTCAGCACAAATTAAACCTGACCGTTTTTCTTCTCTAAGGAAAAATTTTAAATTGAGTACAGTTGTCAAAATAAGTTGTCTTACATTTGCAAGGCATATATTCCTGAGAAATGTTTTTATTTTAATGTTTTTGGCTAGTGTTTGAATCTTCCATATTCAGAAATCTTTCTTTTCTGTCACAATAGATAGTTGAGATGTAAAATTTTCTTAGAAAATGATTTTCTAGTTTTTGAAAAGCCTGTTTAGATTGGCTTTTGGCTCCCAGTGTCTGTTGAGAACTTTGATGGTTTCTGTTTTTGTTGTTATTGGGCCATTTTGAACTGATCTGTGAACTATTTTATCACTAAGACTTATAAATGTCTCTTTTATTCCTGTTTGTTTTGACATTCATTGGATGCTAGAAATACATAGAGTGGGCTTAAGAAAGAAAGTGAGCAAGTGTATAATTTCATAGCTATTTCTGAGTTAGCAGCATGTATTTCTGTTTCACTAATGGTTTGGTAATGTTTGCTAAAATTGAAAAAGTAAATAGCTTTGTTGTAGGAGTATAGACATTAGATAACAAAGACATATGGATTTAGCCACCATTTTTTTCTTGCTTTACATCTGTTATGTGGTTAACTAGGAAAACTCTGTTAGGTAGGACTAAGATGGCAGAGAATTAAGATAATAAGGTGGGAAGATGGCACAAGATGTTAAAGTAGTAGTTTGATGATTTTGTATTAATGTAATAAGTTTAAGCATTAATGCAGAGTCTTTATTTTAATGTGTGTATGCTGTACCTTTACTTTTCAGAACCTAAGTCACAGCCACAACACCTTCATCAGGGACAGTACAGAATGTCAAACACTGAGCAAAATGGAGTAAAAGATAATAATCAGCCAAGACACTTTCCTCGAAATGATACCAGGCAAACAAGAAATGAAAAACCTCCTCGTTTTCAAAGAGACACACAAAACTTAAAGTCAGCTTTAGAAGTCAGTGGATTATCTAGAAATAGAGGTTCTGAAAGACTGAATACTTCAACGGGAGCTGAAGTGTGGGCTGAAGAGAGAATCAAGTGTGATAGACCATATTCTAGATATGATAGAACTAAAGATACTTCATATCCTTCAACATCTCAGCACAGTGATGGTGCTTTTAAAAAAAGAGATAACTCTATGCAAAGTAGACCAAGTAAAGGTCCATCTTATGGAGAGGCGAAAGAAAATCCACTTCCTCAAGAATCCATAGATTATAATAATCAAAAACGTGGCAAAAGAGAAAACTACACAGGTAACCCTGATCATTTTTATGACAGGAAATCACGAACAATAACTAATGAGGCTTTCAGTAGTGTAAAAGTTGAAAAACATTTTAATGTAAGTACTAATTATCAACATCCTGTCCGAAGTAATAATTTCATTGGTGTTCCAAATGGAGAGACCGACATGCCGCTGAGAGGAAGACGAGTAGGACCGATGCAGCCAGCAGGACCTGCCACCGTTGAACCCTATGATGATAAGATATTTTACAATAGTGGGCCTAAAAGAAGGTCTGGGCCAATTAAGCCAGAAAAAGTGCTAGAGTCATCTATTCCTATGGAGTATGCAAAAGTGTGGAAACCTGGAGATGAATGCTTTGCACTTTATTGGGAGGACAACAAGGTATGGATGCTGCGTGTTATGTGCTAATGTTACTAAGGGAAACACTCCGTTAGGACTTTGTAGAACACTCTCACTTTGGAAGTATGAATTTTAATCTATGCTTGTAACTGTTTAAAACCGTCAAGTATATTTAAAATATATAATTTATAAGGAAAAATGAAATATTTAATACTTTTGTAGGTGCTAGGACTGAATCTTTCCCATAAGATTTGGTCAAGTTGTAGAAGCATAGTACACCTTTATTTCTCTTAGCATTTGCTGCATTAGAACTGCGTGCTTTTACTTAAATGTCAGGGTTGGAACTGTTTCACCTGGTCACTAGGCAGGCTTGGAAAGCAGGTGCTGATGTTCTTTATGAGGTAAACTCTTACTCTCCCAACTCAGGCCACTTTCCAAAGTGAAGGAAACAGTTGAATTGGTTAGTGTAGGATTCCTTATATTTAGCTATTTCTCTCTCATTGTAAAGGCAAGAAAAAGTGAACTGGTTGTAAATCATTTTTTATCAAGGCAGCATTGTTGACCTGAGAGAGAATGCTCACTGTATCACATACTGTTAATTGTGCATATATATATATATATATATACACACACACACATATATGCACACACACTCTCCATATATATACGTATATATATACACACATATATATGTATATGTACACACACACATATACACGCTATCTATTTTATCTACCTATCTAAAATGGATAGATAAACAATCTTTTCTTTTTGGTTTGTACCCAGGGTATTGCATTTGCTAGGCAAGTGCTTTGCTACTTACTGAGCTGTTACATCCCAGCCTTCAAATGCTTTTGTGAAAGGTGAAGATAAAGATGGGAAAGTGTTTTCTATATGGGGCAATGTAAGATTGTTGATAAATAAAGCCAAAATAAGATATTGTTCATGTTTAACTTTTCAAAGACTTTGGCAAGTGATTTAGGCTTTCTATTAAAATACTGTAAGGATTATACTGTTAAATAGTAAAGGCAAAACTATACTAGTCAACTCTTACCAAGTCTAAAACCAATCTTAGGAACAAAGAATCTTCCTTTTTATTCTTTCTAGCTGACAATACAAAACACAAACACAACACACACACACACACCAGAATAATAGGACTAATTAACTGAAAATAAATGAAGCAAATGAAACAACAGAGTACTACACATAGTGAGATGATTGAATGAAGCAGAAAAGTTACTTCAATCAATTATTGACGGTTGAGAATTGATTATCTATAGAGGTTGTATAAGATGGTTCTGGCTGTGTGCATTTTAACAGTGCTTTAATTTAAACTGTAATTGTAAGAATCAGTGAAAATGGAATTTGTTTGCTACCTATGTCAAATATACTTAAAATAATGTCAAAAATATCTGAAAAACAGTACTTGACAGGATAGTATTCTTAGAGTATTACTGATTTTATAAAGTCATCCCATTTAAGTTGGTTTGTGTGCAGTTTTATAATGAAGTTCTTTGGACTCTAAATATATTAAACTAGTATCAGAAGTAAGATAAATATAACCTTTGGAGAAGATAGAACTAATTACTCTCTGAAGCCATCTACCATGGAGTTAGCTTTTAAAGAATAGACAGCTTTCTCATTTTTTAGCTAGACACAGGGATAAGAATTAAAGAAAAGGAATTAATTTGTCATTAAGAATTGTCATTAGAAAATTGTCATTAAGAAAATATAATCTTAATTGCATGACAAATGCTGGCTTAGAAGTGATCTTTCAATATAATCCGTTATTTAAAAAATTCTACATAAATGCAAAGGTGTAATGCCCTTGTGCCTCTAGTCAAATAATATATAATTATAGAATACATATAATGTATTAAAATATTATTTATTGAAATGAAAAAAAATTCCTCACAATACCCTGCTTTCTCTGTAATGCTATTTCCATAAAAGAGTGGAGAATTTGGGACAGTTCTCCTTCTTCTAGTCTACCAGTCTAGTTCAGCTCTTTCTCAGTATTATTTCAACCTCCAAATTGTTTGTTTACCTTCAATCTCATCCCTCTTAGACATGTGATCTGTATTCCCACCCCTGTGATACTGGTTTTGGACCAGTAGATTGAATTGAGATAGGTATGTAGCCCCTCCATGATCTGATTCTTTCTTGTGGGTTGAATGATCTCAAAGACTGGTGCTCCTCTCAAATTTATCTTTTTACATAGGCCATTTTTTTCTGAAAGATCATTTTACATAAGTCACTTTTTTCTAATTTTGAAGAATTAAATATATGGCATGTCTTATGGAGACAGAGTTTTTTAAAAGGGGCTTTAAAAAACTTGCCACTTTGTCAGAGCTATACTTTGGAGAGTCACAAATATAAGCCTTAAGTGCGACCTTACTCCTTCAGTAATCTAAGCATTCCAAATGAGTGCATCAACTTTAGAGTTTAGAGTTTGGAGTTTTAGTGCATCAACTTACTTGTTCTTCTAGGATACAATATCAGTATTTATCAAGTGGAACAACATAATTTGAAAAGATTATAATTGAAACTTACACTCTAAACAATTAGTAGAGCATACTAGTGTAAGGTTTCAAAACAGAGGAAGTAGAGGAGGACTGTATACCAGAGAACCCTAAGATAAGCAAAATTCTAATGTGATGTTTCTAAACTTATTTGCATTCCAGGCCTGGGTGGGAAACACAGCTTTCACTTTATATTTTTGTAATATGAGGTATACTAGTTACTACTTAAGTACATTAATATACTGTTCACAAACTCCTGGTATTCTTGACATAATATATATTTTTAGAAGGATGTGGAAAACATAATTATTGTCACCTGTAGCCTCTCCTGATACTGGCGAGCTTGTTAAGTGATACTTTTAGAATACAGAGTGTTAGTGGATCATCCTGTTGCCTTGAAGAAAATATTTAAGAAAACACTAACAGAAAATTCTCACTTCCATTCCACATTGACTAAACTATTTATAATTTCTATCAATAATTTCAATCGAGTGGATTGATATATATGGGAGAAGTACTTCAATCTGCCTACTCTCAATTACCATAAAGTAAAATTTAAAATTATACTTAGGTAAGGTCTTTATGTATTTGTTACTATATATCACTTTTCAGAACCAAGCAGTAAATGGATAAAAGTTGTGTTTCAGTTCTGAGTAATGCTTTTTTTTTTGACTATGCCACTTAAGTGTAATGTTCTTTCTTTGTTAACATTTTTGTCATGTATTTTTGTTGTAAAATCACTTATTTGTCATGTATTCTCATTAGTATATAAAATTTAGCCTCTCAATGTTAGTCAAAGTATTATCTAATGGTAAGATTTCTTAAAAAATGTTACATATTATAATTTTACATGTTAAGAAGTTGTATTTCCACCACATAATGCCTTAAGGACAACATTGATTGCCATATTTAAAACTTTTTGCCTCCTCAGTTTTACCGAGCAGAAGTTGAAGCCCTCCATTCTTCTGGTATGACGGCGGTTGTTAAATTCATTGATTATGGGAACTATGAAGAGGTGCTACTAAGCAATATCAAGCCTATTCAAACAGAAGCATGGGTACGTGATCCAAATTCTGTACAAAGACATAAGCTACTTTGAAGAAACTGTATAGATATAAAAGACTAGTTAAAGTGATAGGAACTTTGCAAGTGGAAAAAGTTTTTGAATTTGCTAAAAGCTGGCTACCCCTAAATGATTTTAATTTAATAATTATGCTGAACCAAAATAAAATGAATTAATTGGAAATTCCTTGATTGTATAATGTGTTATTATATTATGCTTTGGAATAAGTATCTTTATTTAAATTTACCAAAAGTGTTATGCATAAAATGGGGTTTTATGCATAATTCCTTTTTCCCAAAATATTAGTTTAAATTTGACTAAATTATGTCTAGTGATTATCAAATTTAGATACATATAAAAAATTTCAGATTATATGAGTTCATACTGCATCACCACACACACTTATGTACGTATGTATATGGTACAGAGTAATCATAACTATCTGTTTAATAATTATTTGAATAATTTTATTACCAACTATTTTTTAAAGATGTATGATAATATAGATGATGTAATTTAAAATTTCTTGTCCTCATAAATTCTATTTTATATAGGAGTTATTTACTTTATAGATAGGATTTCAACTACATTTAGGTAAAAACGAGTGTATAAGACATATTAGAAGTTTTATTAAATTGTTATTTTCTCATTCCCCTAATTTGTGGGAAGCTGTTAGCAAAAATTTAGGCTCAAAAATTCCTATTTCCCTAAAATATCAAAGTCTTCCAGAAAATTATATCATCTACACAAGTAGCTTTCATCTTTTTTTAAGAAAATATATTTTATTGTAAAGTTGCTGTACAGAGGGGTTAGTTTCATGAGTAAGATAATGAATACATTTCTTGTCAAACATTGACGCTTTCATCTTTGAAGTTATACACTTTTTCCTTATAAACTGATTTTAGTTTTGGTCTTTTAAAATCTCTACACTAGCCAGGTGCTGTTGGGTCATGCCTGTAATCCTAGCTACTCAGGAGGCTGGGATCTGAGGATCTTAGTTCAAAGCCAGCCCAGGCAGGAAAAGTCCCTGAGACTCTTATCTCCAATAAACGACCAGAAAACCGGAAGTGGCGCTGTGGCTCAAGTGGTAGAGCGCTTGCCTTGCGCTGAAGAGTTGAGGGACAGTGCCCAGGCCCAGAGGTCAAGCCCCACAACCACCACCACCACCACCACCACCACCAAAAAAAAAAAAAACTAGTGTAGAGACACTAGTTCCAGGGTCTCCAATATAAATAAAATAAATAAAGCAGCAACAACACAAAACCTAATAACAGAAATCATCTTTAGGGCCATAGATTTTTATTTTTCTGCCTTTTCAATCTAGAAAACGATCATTTTCTAAAATAATTTATTATTATTTTATGTTTTTAGTGTAATATTCGTGGTTTATATTTACTTAACATCTCATTTTCTTGTTCTCATTCTTTAAAGTTTTAAGTATTTTTTAGCCAAAACACTGAAATATCACTCATATTTAACTTATATCTTTTTAAGTTCATTTAACCATATTTACTTATGTCCTTATGACTGTTTTCTTTCTCTTTCTTCTACAAATATATTTTAGTGTTTTGATTGTGAAAGTGATTATTTGTTGGATCTGTATTTCTAGATGTTGAGTCCTGGTTTTTTTATTCATTATTTTTCTTAATCGTCAAAAGAAAATTCTTATATTGTTTTAATGTACTCTAGAAAGAAAAATTTTTTTTTCTTCCTTTCTTCTCTTTTTCTGCTATTCTAGGGTGACCAAAACCGAGGAGCAAATTTGTTATTCCTTGCTGTAGTGCTTCCATTTAAGAGGTGTTGGTACTGAGGTGTTAACTTTCTTTTGACAGTCAGTGGCTTTCCCAATCCCTCCCACCCCTGCCCCCATAACTAGTCTTTGTACTTCATCCTTTATATTAGATCTAGATAGGGTCTAGATAAGGTCAGATGTTCTAGCTTATTCAATGATTCTTTTCTGAACCACAATAATATTTTCTTATTCCTTCTACCTGTTTGAATATTCATCTATGCTTTATTTTTTCTGTTTTATTAAAGTGATGTGTTTTTCTATAGTCATTTGAAACATCTTGTAAGATGTTGAAAATATTTTACAGAAGCAATAAGGGTAGAATCACTAAATCTTTGGAGATATTACTATTTCTTCTACTTATAAACAAGTGAGGGCTGGGAAGGTGGCTCAGTAGTAGAGCGCTTGCCTTGCATGCCTGAGGCCCTGGGTTCGATTCCTCAGCACCACGTAAGCAAAAAGAAAAAAACCCAGAAGTGTCGCTGTGGCTCAAGTGGTAGAGCGCTAGCCTTGAGCTGAAGAGCTGAGGGACAGCGCCCAGGCCCAGAGTTCAGGCCCTACAACCGGACCCTCTCCCCCCCCCCAAAAAAAAAACAAGTGGTTCTCAAAGTTTTTTTCATGCATAAATTAATATAATAGACATTTTTTGATCATGTACATCATTGAGGAAAATATCAACCATTCTTCATTTGTGTGAATAACAAATCTCTTCTTGAAATATAGAGGCCACCTCTTTAACATTTCTTCATTTATCCATATTTTTAAAATATGTATGTTGCACATATACATAAAAAGCCCCAGGAGAAATACAGTCTATGTGGATGGATGTCTATTCATGCAATACAGTGTTAGAGTTGAACATATTTAGCTTCTGAAAGACTTAGTGTTATAGTCTATGAGCACTTTTTCTTTTTTGTAATTAGGGATTATAACAAAGTTACATTAATAAAAATGTATGAAATTATCAAAAGCAAAATATTTCATTGTACATTAAGGGTAATAACTACTTAATTAAAAACATAAGAGAAATTAAAGGGCTGCAAAAGGTTCAAGGAAGTTGTTAGAGGCCTTAGCACAATTACTTATTTATCATATGGATTGTGGGCTTTTAATTTTTTAACTCTTGCACTACATTAGTACTTTTTAAATTGTGAAGTAACATTATATCTTCTATTAAGGTTTATGTTTGTTATTGGAAAACCTCTTCAGCTTTCCCAAGTGATGATTTAGTGAATATTTTTTAAAGTAATATGCTAAATACCAAACAGCCTGAATATAAATCAAGTTTTTATAGGAATCAGTGGCTTGTATTGTTCATCAAAATTGTAAGGATAAATCATTAAATAAAAAGCATGAAATGTGAAGAGACTCATGATGAGTCTGTTGTATGGAAAATAAAAATAAGTTAACACTTTAAGTGTTAATGTTTTTCACTTGAGATTTAGGATGTATTTGACTATATCCATTTGTAAACCAAATGTATATTTTTCTCTTTTCCATGTGTATATACCTTTTTACATCCAGAACATTCTCAGGGATAATATTTTAGATGGACACATTATGTGTTCTGGTTATGATTAAATACTTTATTCCCTTCAAAATGATTTTAATGTTTGGTAAGTCATCCTTGGTTTTTGTTTTTAGCTAGATTTTCTTTAATTCTTTTTTCCACAGTATGATATTCTGGTTTTTAAGCCTTTATTTAGGGAACTTCCAGTTATACATCTGATACGAGATTTATAGGTCTTATAAACTGAATATATGCTCTCATTTTCCCAATTTAAGAAATGAGTTCTTGAAATATTGTAGGATTTTCCCAAAGTCAGTGAAAGTGTATGGAATAATAATTGAAAAAAAAAAACCAATATATTTTTCACCACTGTATGAGCAAACATTAGGAGCAAGAAAACTTGCTATTCGTGCTCTCTGAAAATCTTTTCCAAATTGCTTCTGTTTAACTCAGTAACTAATACCAGAAAACCCATAAGAAGATGCCATTGGCAAATTGGAAACACTGTAAAATACCTTGGCATTGCTGGGCAGATGAGCCTTTTATGATTGTGTATCCTTGCATTTGAATGGACTCTAAATGTGGGAAGACTGTCATGTCCTGGTTTTCTAAGCATATTCAGGATCTGGATTCTGTTGAGACTTTATTATAACAAATGCTTTAGAACATGCTTTCTTTTTTTAAAGTTATAGTATCTGTTTCTAGCTGCTAGAAAATGATCATGGTTCAGCTGTTGTTTCATAGAGGAAATTATGATTGTATAGATAATGGTTAGTAATGAGACCTTATCACACAATTGTGAGTGGTAATTCAGAAGCAATGGGGCTCACTCCTATCTGGAGTGTTTTCTGTAGTATATATTTTAAAATTTAAATTTCAGCAAATATATCTTGCACATTTCTTATAAAATCTATGATGTGCCAGGTAATATTTAGATGAGGGATATATTTAAAAACACAGAACACAAAAATCTATCATCTGCACATTTGATAAGAAAATTATAATTTCTGTGTAAAGGTGATAATTCCATTTTCACAAAAGTCTTTGTTTTTATTTCTTGAAACTTCAAAACAAAATCCTATGGAGAATGTCTTTCTATTTACTGGTTTTACTTTAAATAGTATATGTATATATTTTTTCCTATCTTACAGTGATAACATTTTTGTAGAAGAAAATATAATATGTTACATTTTAAAAATCAGAATCTTTCTGTGTTTCCTAGGCTAGCCTTAAACGTCTGGGCACAAATGATTTCCTTCCACAGTCTACCAGGTTACTGGAATTATTACAGGAATAAGGCACTGCAAGTGGCTTTATTTTAAAGTTAGTCAAGCATAACGGCACACACTTATAATCTCAGTATTCAGGAGCCTGAGATGAGCGCATGAATTCAAGTCTAGCTTTGGGCTATATAGTGGCTGCCAGACTTGCTTGAGCTACGTAGCTGACTTTGATTCCAAACTAATAAAATAAAGTAAAAAAGTAAACTTTGAACTATTTTTAAATAATAATTGTAGTCTATATAGTTTTCCATATTAGCATACTTTAAAAAACAGAAGTGTTCTCTATTTCAAAATTTGGAGTAACTGCACAATTGTTTTTTTTCTTCATATAAAAGAATTCTTAAAGCATATTTAAAACTTCTTTTCAGATTCAAATAACATTTTTAAAAAGTCATAAATTAATTTTTCTACTAACAAAATGTTATTTTTTAAACAGAATAGCAATTAAAAGAATCCTATTTAACGAGAAGAAAGATGGAGATTGGAATATATAATATGAATTAAAAATGTTTTCTACAGTAATAAAATAAGGCTATTTATAATTTATACTTGATATCAAAACATCGTAGATATTAAAAGTTTGTATACCTGTTTGTTCATGGTTTTGAAGCTCTTTTTTTTTCTCGCTCATAAATGCTTGAATGATTTAGTGCATGCAATTTAGTATTCCAAGTGTTGGCACTGAAATCATAATCTGGTTAAGTTCACTGATACACTAAAATATATTTTTTTCTACCAGAAGTAAACTATATAGTCTGTCCCATTAAAGAACATAATTTTCAGATTATAAGCCATGGAACTTGGGGCTGGGAAGGTGGCTCAGTGGTAGAGTGCTTGCCTTGCAATGCATGAGGCCCTGGGTTCGATTCCTCAGCACCACATAAGCAAACAGAAAAAAGCCGGAAGTGGTGCTGTGGCTCAAGTGGTAGAGCGCTAGCCTTGAGCTGAAGAGCTGAGGGACAGCGCCCAGGCCCAGAGTTCAGGCCCCATGACCAGACCCCAAAAAAAAATAAAATAAAATAAACCATGGAACCTGAGGATTACATATTGTATCTTAAAAAATTAGTATGCTAAGTAATAAACACAACGTTTACTATGGAGCTATACACCATGCATTATCTTTATACTTCTTATTGTTGGATTGTTTTAGATGTACTTTGTTCCTTCTTTATTTATTACTCATCTTCTTGTGACATCTGCAGAAGATTGTGTGTTATCTAAAGCACTTCATTGGAAATAGAATGCTGTTGACAGAGATGGTACATTCATAGGTGAACTCAATGTACATAGATAGATATGTCACCTTAAAATTATTTATGTCTAACTTACAACTCAAATTCAGTTTATGACAGCTGAACATAATAGAATTTTATGAAAATCTTGAGATTAAATTTAGACCTAGCCATACTAATTCATAGAGATATTTTATTCCATCATTTAAATTAATAGTAAAAATAATATATTACTTTATAGATGTTTAAGATTTGATGTTCCATATGTTTTGCGATCTCTTCAGTCCCTATGTAAAATATTATTTAAATTGTGTTTAGGTAATCTGAATTTTCTTTCATTGAGTAGTGAAAGTACAGGTTATATTATTGTCACTTTATGTTCCTTTTTGTTTCTGAAGTTTAATAGTTCCTAAAGTAAAATAACTTGGTATCTTTCTTTTAAGGTTATTTTAGCATTTATGCCTCAAGTTATTTAAAACATAACTATTTGAAAAATTGACAGCATTTCTTTTTGTTTCCATGTGTACTAATGAGAGGTAATGCATTCATCTCTTACTAAGTAAATCTTCCCTTTGTTAGTCGTGCTGAGTGTATTGTATTGAGTAATTAATTAGTTAGTTCCCAATGCTTTATCTTAATACTGAATACTACATAATTTTGATTGTTCCTTCAGAATAGTGCTAATGGCACATCATGGGTAGGACCAGAGCTAAAGAGGGTTGGGATTGTCTAGTCACTTACTTTCTTTCTGGATATTTTTGTTTCCTTTCTAAGTCACATTTTGCCTTTTCATCTACTTACAGGGACTTTTGACACTATAATTTCAGATTTTACTGAATTTTACCATTTCTTTGCAAATAGATGCACAAGGCTTGCATGATATACTCATTTCTCAGGAAATAAAGGAGTGAATAAGTAATCTGCTGGATATTTTTATTTTGGTTTATTTTTAAATTCACAAAGATGTCTTAAATTGGACATGTGTTTCCCTAACAAAATCAGTATGTATATTTTTTCATGTATAAGTCTGAAGAGCAAGTCTTCAGATTAACAGAGTTAAAATACATCTGTTTTAATTTCTGAGCCCTTTTCTTTTACATCTAGAACAGTATACTGTTTGACAGACTTTATTCCTTTTCAGTGGATGGTCCCCCAGTGAGTTCCGTCTCATATACCATTGATAGCAAACCTTGATGGTGATGGCTAAAGCAGCTGACTTTTGATGAATATTTGATTTCATACCATAAACAATTGTCAGTTCTCCATTCTCTCTTTAAAATCTTACTCATTTGTTACTTTCTAGGATATTTCTCTGTAGTTTTACTTGTCCTCTTTTATATTAGTCATCTCTCTGCATTTTCATTCTCCTTCTCAAATAGCATGATAACCTTAAAGAAAAAAAAAAAAGAAAATCCTTGTGGGTAAACCCTAGAGAGTAGTATCTTTTAATATAAATGAGCTATCCTTCCTACTAACCCTGATTTCCTGAACTTTATTGGACCTATGCTGTTTTCCTAAAATCATGTATACCAAGCTTTATTGTCAAACTAGTGAAAAAGTGGAGTTCACCTTTTCCTTGTGAAAAATACTTTGCTGTTATAAAGCTTCCAATTCCATTAATCTTGGGAACTACTAACAAAAGTTTATACCTTGGCTTGTAATAACTCATAGTGTCTATCATTGGCTGAGAGCTCCATTCAGAAGGGAGAGGAAGTACTGCAACAGTGAGTATATTTTATTTACTTTAAAAAATCGCTAAGCAGCTTAGAACTTTGTAAGAAATGAAAAAGATGGATATTTGTGTGTTTTTATCATGCTACATCCATCTGTTTTTCTCAAGTATGTTTGGAGCACCTGAGTTGTTATTTATGGTTAAAACAAATTTGGAAAACAATAGGTTAAAAAATTAGCCAGGCACCGGAGGCTCACCTCTATAATCCTAGCTACTCAGGAGGCTGATAACTGAGAGTCAAGGTTCAAAGCCAGCCCGGGCAGGAAACTCTGTGAAACTCTTCTCTCCAATAAACCACTCAGAAAATTGGAAGTGACGCTGTGGCTCAAGTGGTAGAGTGCTATCTTGAGCTGAAGAGCTGAGGGACAGTACCCACGCCCATAGTTCAAGTCCCATGATCAAAAAAAAAATTATATACTTTTAATTACACATCACTTTTTAGAGTCAAATAGAAAGTTAATAAGTACTTTAAATCTTCAAGATGTGGGGCTAAAAAAGTAGTTCTTCACAACCTTACCTGCTCATGACACTTTTCTTTTCCCCCATGTAGAACATTGTAGAAAATCTACAGGACCTGCTTAGCAGTCGTCTCAATTACCTTATTTTTGCTTCCATTCAAATTATCTATAATAACTGCCTATCTTATTTTTGCTTTCTTTTTGTATGCTGGTAGTGGGTTTGTACTCAAGGCCTTATGCTCTTGCTTACTTTTTTCACTCAAAGCTGATGCTCTATCACTTGAATCACACTTTTCCTTTCATTATTTTGTTGGTTAATTGGAGATACGCTCATGGATTTTTCTGCTCAGCTTGGCTTCAAGCTGATCTGTAGATCTCAGTCTCTTGGATAATTAGGATTAGCCAGTTCTTGGCTATGATTTATATTTAAAATATATTATTTTATAGCAAATAAGCGCTTTACAGGGCCTTGTGTGAACACAACCCCGGTACCACCATATATATATATATATATATATATATATATATAGAGAGAGAGAGAGAGAGAGAGAGAGAGAGAGAGAGAGAGAGAGAGAGAGAGAGATATGTTTAGGGGCTGGGAAGGTGGCTCAGTGGTAGAGCGCTTGTCTTGCATGCATGAGGCCCTGGGTTCAATTCCTCAGCACCACATAAGCAAAAAAATAAGCAGGAAGTGGTGCTGTGGCTCAAGTGGTAGAGTGCTAGCCTTGAACTGAAGAGCTGAGGGACAGCACCCAGGCCCAGAGTTCAGGCCCCACGACCGGATCCCCCCCCCCCCCCCCGAAAGAAAGATATGTTTATATCTGTGTCTGTCTATATATCTATATCTGTGTCAATAAATATCTATATAGAGAGATATATTTATATCCATATAGATATAGATAATATAAAGATCTAGATCTCTGTATTTAGATCTATATGTATATAGATATGGATATAGGTATAGGTATAGATAGATATAACTATATATATAATTATATATAGTTTTTGATTAAATAGCATATAAATGAGATTTTCAAATCCAATATATTTTTGTAATAAAATATTTCAAAAGATTGCTTGAACATTCCGAAACTTTTTTTAACCTTTGAGTAAAGGGTAAAATATATTCCTGAAATGTTCTTTTTATGTACTAATAATATGATTTTATTGCATTTTTATTTTACATGTCATTATACAGAACATGCATAGCTTTTAATGTAATTTTATCTAGTTCTGGAACTTTTTATGCATTAACTTTCAGAAATTGCCACTTCATAAAGATTCCCATTGTAGTTTTCATAATATCTTTTTCTGTAATTTTTACCTACTAGCTATATGATACTTATTTATTCCAAGACATTTTCATCATGTCTTTGAGTTTTATATTTATAATTCTCCAATGAAGTAATCTAATGTAAAATCTGAAACACTCCCTCTTTTTTTTTTTTGTTTAGTTGGTATGGACTCTTAAATAAGGAATCAAAGCAAGTTAATTCCTTTGGGTTTATGGCTCTTCTTTAATATAGAAGAGGACTATTAAAAGATGAGCCAGGCGCTGGTGGCTCACACCTGTAATCCTAGCTACTCAGGAGGCTGAGATGTGAGGATCACGGCTCAGAGCCAGTCCTAGCAGAAAAATCCGTGAGACTCTTATCTCCAATAAACCACTAGAAAACCAGAAGTGGCGCTGTGGCTCAAGCAGTAGAGTACTCACCTTCAGCTGAAGAGCTCAGGGACAGCGCCCAAGCCCAGAGTTCAAGCCACACAACTGACCAAAAAAAAAAAAAATAATGAAGATTTCTACCCATAGCAAGATTTGTATTGAATGAGGTAGTCTTTAAGCCATCAAATATTATTTAAAAGATTGTCACACAAAGCCTCCTAGGAAATGGTCTTAATTGCTCTTGACTTCCCGTTCTTACTTTCTTGATATGATTTGCTATTTCAGATGAACTGATAATTGCATTTCTAATTCTAGACCTCACTTAAGAGATCTGGTATGTGTGTAAGGATATTCTTATTTCAGGAAAAATCCTCTTTTCATGTACTTACAGTTATAAATGAGGCCTGACTTTACTCTTAGATATTAGCTAGTAGAAATGTAAAGAAATGGCATAAACAATCAGTAGATATATACCTTAAGATGTATACCTATGGTTGATGGTAAAATAATTTTATGTTACTTCACAGATTGGTATTGACCTAAAACAGTAAAAAGTGGTCATTAATTACTTGTTGAATATTCAGTGTTATAATGGTGATTGCCTTCATTACTGAAAAGTCCTTCCTAGACTACAAGCTTAAATATCACAGCTTGATGTAACAGTTTTTCACCAATATTTCTTGAGTTGTTTTTAATATCAAAGTGGATTGGCTTCTATCTTATATTAAGCATTAAATTAAATGGATATCAGAAAGGTGGGAGATGTATTTCCTTCTCTATATAAGCCTCTAATATCTATAAGGTTACCATCAGATTGAAATGATACCAGTCTGGGAGCAGTTGCTGATGTTCCTGATTACAGTTTTGCATGCTAAATGAATGAATATCCTGAAGCAAGTAATTTGGGAAGTATACCTTTCACAACCTTTGGTTGGCGTTTCTTATCATGTAAATATGCTTGCTTTTCCCAGATTTTTAAATTAGGAAAGTAGGGCCAACATTCTTGGTAATGATTCACAAAGTTATACCAAGCAGTGTATTAGAAGCCAATTTGTTTTGTATGCTTCAAGTTCTAAAATTTTTGGACATACATTTTTGAGTTTTAGTAACTATTCTTTGAACCATTTAATAAATGACAGGACAATAAAATGGTGTTTATCTTAAAAGTCTTAAGTAACTAAAGCTTACAATAATGTGAAGAGGGAGGATACAGATATGTAGTTTTTCTCATCAGGTAATTAGGTAATCTTATCAGGATATCCTGAAATTGTTTACCAGTACCTAAAAGAATGTTTAGTATTAATCAGATTTTTAAAATAAGAAGCTAAAGATTTAAAGCAACAAGAAAAGAGAGAATGTTAAGACTTTGAGAGTTATTAGTGCTATAAGTTGGTTCTAAAATCTTTCGATACAATCTATCTCTGGTTGGTACTTTGTCCTGATTTGTATAAACATTTACTTTGCACTGGCATTATTAATAGTTGTTCTCCATTAAAAGGTAAAACTTCAGAAGACTGAAGTGTTTGCAGACTTATGGTACAAAAGATCTAAAGATCTAGACATAATAAACGTTGCTCATATGCTCAGTCCATTTGAATTGTATATTAATTTTAATTAGCCTCACTTGGCTTTTCTAGCCCTCTATCACCTGAGTTATGTCTTCTGTCTTATTATTTTGAGGTTTGCTTTTCTTGTTGTCTCTCACTAACTTTTAGCCTTAAAAACGGAGTCTTCTACTTGGATCCCTTCCCCCAGCAGCTATGATTACAGGTGTATGTTACCACATCCAACTTGTTTATTAAGAAGGAATGGCTCTAACCTTTTACCTGGCTGGCCTTCACTTGTGATCACCCTGTCTGTATACTCCAAATAGCTGAGGTTAGAAGGATGAGCCACTGTACCCAGCCCTGTTTTCCTTACATTCTTAAGAAATAAAGAAGGAAGTAAAATTTCTCATTGAATGTGTTTCAGCTTTGTTAGAAATAAGATAAAATATAATTTCTTTAAGGGAAATTAAAGAGTTACTCTGTAAACTAGACAGTGGAAGGCCTAAATTTTGATATAGAAATGTAATTATAAAAAGGTATATTGAAACATTTTAGGAATAATTTTAAAAACAATATAAGACTTACAATTCAAGAAGATAATATATGTTCTTACCTATTGAAAATACTTAAAATTGGCTGTGGAAAGTCTGGACACATGAATTTTTATAGGTGTAGTGATTATAATTGCTTTAATAATAATAACTGCTGAGAGAATATCAACAAAATGTGGTCACAGAGTAGGTTACAGGTGATCAATGTCTTCAAAATAATCAGCTTTCAAAATAATGTTTAAGAAGGGTGTAATTTAAAAAGTATAGCTGAACCTGCTAAAAGTTTTTAAGCAAATTGCCTTAATTTTAATTACAAAATGGTTTTGCTTTTAGAAATGAGAATTATTTTGCTTTGACTTTCCAATAAATTTCATTTAAGTGTTGACGTATCACCCAAAATAAGTTCTGACATTGTCTACTATTTATTGAAATTTTGGATTTAAGGCTGGGAAAATTTTCAGACTCCGTGAGCCTTATCCTGAAACAATTTTTTTTTATATGGTCATTGAGTTAAATGTATGCTCCTCTTGACCTTTGAAAGAAGGGGAGAGGGCAAGGCTGGTCTTGGGCAAATTACTTCCACCTCCCTTTTTGCCCCTGCTTCAGCTCCAGGGGAGCTGGAAATGCACAGGATGAATCAGAAGACCTGGGTTCCAGTCCTGGCTCTGCCACTTACTACCTATGTGACTTTGGGTAAGTTACTTAACATCTCTGAGTCTCAGGATTTGCAAGGATTAGATAATTTACCTATGTAAAGTGATTTGTAACCTCTCAACCTGTATAGAAACATAGTGTTTTAGTATTATAGGCTTGGCTTCCTCCTCTATTCTTTTGAAGTCTCATGTTCTTAGCTATGCATTTTTAAAGCAACCCAGAGTAACAACTATTTTTGTGTTTCCTTTTGCTGTCTCCTCTTTTGGAACTATTATTCCTATCCTCTGCATGCTTTGGAGTTAAGTATTCTAAAAGTGAAAAACCAGGTTGATTAATCTGTACTGTAGAGTATGGCTTACTATTACCCTAACTTACCCCTCACTCTTAATTTTCCCTGTTATACAGTGCTTAACAATATCAAAAGATGAATCAGTAGTGCATGAAAATTCAGAACGTGGCAAAGAAATGTTTTAGCTGAGGGCAGTCCTTTCAGTCTTTTTTTGCTAGCTCACTGTTCTGTCGGTAAGGTAGACAGCTGGAGTATACATTTTCCTGTAGTCCTTTCATTTTCTCTGTGGAAATGAAAGGGAATGGATATAATTCAGGTTACAGTTCTTAAGAGGTCTTGCTGGAACCTAGACTCTTTTTTTTTTCTCGTTGTTGCAACAGGTCCACCTGTATCCTTATTTAAACGACTGGAACCTAGACTCTTAACCTGAGGAATAGTGGTAGGGGATAGATAGGGACTTGGACTCCCCTCCCCCACCCCCCTGGTCAGCTCCCTGTGAGAATATCTGGCCTCATCTCGGTAAAGTAATCCTAGCCTATCTTAGCCAAGCATAATTTACAGTGCCTATCTTTCATGGATGCTCACTTTACAGAGTGCATGAAGCTGAAGAAGAGAGAAATATTGCTTTCTGGATCACTTCAGGCTTCAGTTCTGGCTTCAGATCAAGCCTTTATGTGTGTTTGTTAAGTTAAATCCCTCCCCCTCCCCTGCACAATCTAGGATGCTTTCTCTGGCTATATATAAATAATTGCTCCTGTAGCTACTTACATGAACTGCTTGCCATTAATGTCTTGATTATCATGCAGCATGACAGTTACTCATGTCATAAATCAGGTTAATTTTAGTAAAGATTTTATTTTTTATCATTAAACCATAGACTTATGCTCAATATGGTTTCTTGCTGAAGTAGCATTGTCATCTTTCATAACTAAAATTTGGGATTATTGAACTCTGGTAGTAATCCAATGCAAATTGAAAAAGTGTGCAATTTAAATTTTATCAATTTATGAAAAAATTAAATGTTACCATGTACGCTAGCAAGGCTGAAGTGATAAGAGTACTTTCATGTATTGCTAATGACAGTATAAACTAGCATGACCTCTATTTTTTCCCCAAGACTCTATAAAATGTTTTAAAATTGGGAAGCAATAATCCTACAATTGGTAGTATATCCTTAAGGAAATTCTAAAAGGAAAAATAAAACAATCACTGGGAGATTATCATTACTACATAACTTAATAATAAGACACTAAAAGCTACTTAAATGTATAGCAATAAGAGAATGGTAAAGTATCATGTACCTGTACTATAATATAACTGTTTTAAAAGATTATTACAAAGACTAATATATGAGAAATTTACATAGTAAGTGAATAAAAACAACTTAAAGACTTGAATGAAAATATACTCAAGACAGTGATTGTCTTTAAGTAGGAAATTCATTCAGTACTATGTATATAAATTCAATTTGTAAACTTTTTATAATTCTATATTATGTTTTCAATTGGGAAAAGCAAAAGTAAAATGAATGAGAATTATTCTGTGACAATATAGTCTTGATTTTCAGATCTTGTTATAACTGTAAGAAAAGCATTTGCTACATAAGTAAGGCAATATTTTTATGTTTATTTGGCACAACCTAGTATCAGTCACTGGTAGAAGTTTCCATTAGAAACTTGATATTTGAAAGTTTACATAGGAATGGCTGTTATTGCTCTAGAATCTCTGCAAAATCCAGCATTGAAGAATGTTTTATGAAACAAGATTTAGGCTTCTGCTAATAATTTTAGTAGAGTTCCAAGACATTAACAAAGTGTCAGGTGGTTGTGGGCTTTTTTTTTTTCTTTGTTGGTTGGGGGACTTGAACTCTGGGCCTGGGCACTGTCTCTGAGCTCTTTAGCTCAAGGCTAGCACTTTACCATTTGAGTCACAGCGCCACTTCCTGTTTTCTAGTGGTTAATTGGAGTTGAGTCTCACAGACTTTCTTCCCCAGGCTGGCTTTGAACCACAATCCTTGGATCTCAGCCTCCTGAGTAGCTAGGATTACAGGCGTGAGCCACTGGTGCCCAGCTGTGAGCTTATTTTTATACCTGTCATTAATAAATTGAATAGAAAAATGTTAAGTAAGTAAGCAATATAAGACATAGTATGTGTGTGTATGCACCCATGCTTAAGCATGATATTTAAAAATTGTGATTTTACTAAATTGTACCTTTAGAGGGATTATTTTATTATTTCTTGTTTATTTTAATAAACAAGAAAATGAGATAGGATATTAGTTTAAAACTATTTAGCTGCGATCATGGTGATACATAGCTGTAATTCTAGTACTCAGGAGGCTGAAGCAGGAGGATGCCTTGAGTAGGAGTTCAAGACTAGTCTGGACAATATGAGGAAATCCCATAGCAAGGAAACAAGTGTGCAAATAAATCCTACTCTTTAATCCCAGTAGATTTACTCTAATCTATTGAGCTAGTCATAGGTTCTTTCCTAGAGAGAGTTTTCCTAACCTGGAACAATTTCAAATAAGGAAAATTAAATGCTTCTCATACTTTTTGCATGAAAATTATAAAGTGTTATATAGCATTGTCTATGGAATTATAAAACAAATTCCTAATGGAGAACTAGGCAGAGCTATTATGAAGAGACACTCTTAGGATCACAGTTTATGTAGTATTATAGAATAATCCTGCATCGTTGCAAGATAAAATACCATCATTAACAGTTGATCTCTTTCTAATTGCTACCAAGCCAAAATATTGGTAGTTTATAACTTGTCACTCCATTTAGAGCTTTCTTTTTTATGATAAAAATGTACTGTTTATTTTAATACTCATTAAATGAAAAAACATCTTAATAGCAAGTTCTTCAAAATTTGAAGTTGATAAGATTCCCTTCTTCTTTTCCTTGAAGGAAGAACTGAACCCAGGGCCTCACATATTCTAGACAAACACCCTACCACTTGAGCCAGCCCTTAGTCCCTTTCTTTTATATTTTGTTTTTGAGATACAGATTCTTTAATTTTGCCTAGGCTGGTCTGTACTTTGTGATATTCTTGCTTCTACCTCTCCATAGATGAGATCACAGGCCTGCACCCCAATTCCTGGTTTATAGTGACAAATTCTTAAGTAAATTTAGGAACTTGCCAATTTAATTATATGATGTAGAATTGTTTGTATCTGTCTTCAAGCTTTTGAGGATAAATTTCTTGAAATATATAGTAGTTATTATGAATAATTTGTTGTGAAATATTTCTGTTGGTGAATTTTACTGCTTTATTAGATGTTTCTTCTCAATAGCCATGTTAATAGAAGAATTGATGCTCCATGTCTGTGGACAGTAAGAGAGGGAAAACTTTAACTTGTGCCTGTCCTGAGGCTTGATATTGGCACCTGGCACTGTCCCTGAGCATTTTGTGCTCAAGGTTTGTGCTTTAGCACTTGAGCCACAGTTCCATTTCCAGCTATTTTGGGGAGTTAATTGGAAATAGAGTCTTATGGACTTTCCTGCCTGGGCTGGCTTTGAACTGCAGTCCGGCGATACAGCCTTCTAAGTAGGATAACAGACGTGAGCCACTAACACCAAGCAATAAAAATAATTTTGTAGGATTAAAGTTACAATAAGAGTTAATCTGGCATTTTTAATTGGGTTATTCACATTTATAATGTACTAGTATAAAATAGTCAAATAGCTTGACTCAACCAGTAAGCTCAATGTTGTTTTTATTTTTTATCATGTATTAATTATACAAAGGAATCTCTTGGTGATATTTCCATACATGCATGTAATGTACTTTGAGCATATTTATACCCTTAATTTCTTAGCCTGTCACTTTTAAACTAATTTTTAATGTTTATGCTATTTTCCTTTATTGAACATATTAGCTCATTTTAAATCATAGCTGTTTAAGGATAAAGTAGCCATTTCAGGGTAGTTCATTCTTTCAGTTGAGTCAGAGTAGACTGATTAGGGTAAATAGCGTTGTGAATAATTTATGTCCTGCAGATCTTTTATCATCTAAATAATATGTATACATGTTAGTTTCTTTATGTATTTAAAATGTGTGATGGATAACACTTGATCATACCTGTTTCTATAAACCTTACAATAATTTGATATGACAATATAATTTTCTTCTTCATTCTGTGCATCTACTGTGAATTTGAAGAAGAGCAGAAACTTGGGGAAGATAATCATTTTTAACCTCGGTTATGTTTGTTTCTCAGAAAAAATAGCAATAAGAACATGGAACTAAATAAACATCTTGCCAGGAAAATGGGAAATTGAAATATTTGGCATTTTTTGTTTGTTTTCTCTCTGATACTTGTCCTTGAACTCAGGAACCGTTATGTCTTCTTTCGATCAGTTGAGCCATGCCTCCACTTCAAGCCTTTTGTAGATGATTCTCATGGATTTGTCTGCCAGGGCTGGCTTTGTTTGGCCCTTGATTGTTAAATGTTAGTCTTTGGAGTAGCTAATGTTAGCCACCTGTGCCCAGCCTGACACAAAGGTTCTTAATTAGCATTGGTTCCATTTCTTCAGCTTTCCTTTAAAGCTTTGGAAAGAGCAGCCACTCTAATTATTCGCCTCCCGAAAGTGATGTTTGCTCACCCTGAATTGCTCTGGCAACTACTGACTGAAGTTAGGCATTGCCTATCCATCCTAAACTACTTTGGGACAAATTCTTTTTAAAAAATGCATTTCTTTTCCTGTCTTCTAATGGAATATTATTAATGTAATATATTTATAT